ATTCACACCATTCATATTCACATTAATACTATTATCATCTATAAGTAAAGCTCAGGATCTATCGCCGTCCCGCACAGGACATGGTATGTATGACCGGACACTTTGTTTGCGAATTAATTTTAAACACTAATTAATCCATTATTGAATCAAATAAGAGCTCAAAATGAGGTTAACGTTAGTGAAGCGTCGATACCAGTGTATTATTACAGATACGAGCCTTCATTTCTTGCGATAACTTACATAATAACTAAGTTTATAGTTAATAACCAAATGTTTGCTTTTTCTAATAATATATCCCAGGGTTACACACCGTTGAGCTTACATTTAATTGTAATTAAAGTGAAATGGATTGAGATTTAATTGTGTTTTAGTAATTATTTTGTAAAATTTTAATGTAATATATTAAATACATTGTAACTCTAAATGTAATTTGAATACAGCGCCCATATTTATTCCGGGAAATGCCCGACCCGTGGAACCGGTGGGCCCACAGATAGTGGGCGATATGATACAGTTCCGGACGGAACTCATGTATCCGTACAACTTGAGTGACTTCACCGAAATTACTTCAGCCAAACCAATACACGATCAGCCGCTGCCCTTTCGGCTCCCATTCTTTGGCTTTTGGTATCACTACATATGGGTAAATGACTTCTCATTTCTATGTCTTTTTGCATAAATTCTTCAATAATTACTTCAGTTTATTGTCACGAATAACCAAAAATATAAGCGAGAATACTGTATATACTGTACCATAAAAAATAAAAATGTTTTTTTAATAACAATTATATGATAACATAATAATAGACACATTTAAGCGCTCATCAGATCAATCATCTTTCATGACTTAAAGCAATAGTTATATAATATTAGAAATAAAATGCTTTCCGAGCGTTCACTTTATGTTTCTTCTACTCGTTTACTAAAACTAAACGTTAAGCCTATTATTATAATGACCTAACATTTAATGCAATCATTGTCTTTGATACTGAAGTTCATTATCGTATACATAGAGGCAAACACACAGTATAGCAGAAACCTAGAGAAACTTAAACATTTAATTAATTCAGTGGATTAAACATATCATTGACTCTATTTGTAACACAATATCAGACGATTTAAACATATATTTGATTAACAGATACAAAGAGATGGTTATCTAGCGTTCAATCGGGGAATGTTGTCGTATAAGTTTCCGGTGAAGTTTCCGTTTGTGCCGCGCGATAACCTGTTAGAGGAGGACCCGTCGATAATCGCCCCGTGGTTTGCGATGCAAGACATACCGACGGAAGTGCCGCACGCGGGCGTCTACTTGAAGATTGTCAACTTAGAGCAGGAGTCAAACGCCACGCTTAGGGACAGAATCTACTATGACTTCAGGGAAGGCATGATCGGCGCCTCCGATTTCAGGCCCAAATTCGCCCTCATTATCACGTGGAGAAATATGTCCATGGTCAATCGTAGGCCTGAAATGCCACTTAAGGTTTGTATTGAACCACTTTTTTATGTGGTGTATATTTTGGTTCAATGGGTTAGTGAGATGTTTAATGAATGCCGTTTTGTTTGTCACCATTAGACCAACACATACCAGTGCGTGTTGGCTACGGATGAGATCCGGACGTACGCTATGTTCAATTACGAGCAAATTGAATGGATTACACATCAAGACAACTATGAAGGCCTTAAAGGATCGGCCGCTTATGTAAGCAAAACAGAGTTAAATCCCTATATAGTGTAGCGATGCGTAAAATTAATGAAAATTACTATTGAAACAAAAGGTTGGTTTCAACGCCGGCAACACGACCCGCACCTATGAGTTTAGGCCGTATTCGCAAAACCCGCGCATATCATATCTGACCACTCGTGGGTGGGGTAACGGTCTTCGGGGCCGTTACTTCTTCCAGATCGATGAGGAGGTCTGGCCCGGAGCTTGTATTGAGAAGGATTTGGACCCCAATCTTCCCGATCGACTTCCCCTCACATTCTTCCCCCGCGTCGGCCATATGTTGGGCGGAACTCTCGTCAACTTCACGGGTCCCTGTCTTTCGCCGACGAGTATAATAACGTGTAAATTCGAGAACTTTCCCGTTCCCGGCATATACAGGGACTTCAATCACGCCACCTGTATTTCGCCACCAGTAATGTACCATGGTTATGTCGATCTAACCATCACCGTCGATGACAGGACCCTATTCTTAGGCAGATATTACAAACGTAAGCACTTTTGAAGGCTAATCGCAATTATTTACATTTAAAACAATCGTCACTTTCACAGAACCCCCGGATATCGCGGACGAAGACATTGTAATTCTGGAAAACGCCGATCGTATGGAAGATCCCACGGCTTTAGATATAAAGTGGAAAATGCATAAACTTGGTTGGAATGACAACTCGCCCGCCATTATGTCTTTGTGGGGATACAGAGAGACGGGTGATGTGTACCCTCACCTCACATTCATCGACAAATTGGCTGAAATACGTTTGGGAGCGTTGAGGACACAAATAGAGCCCAAAATCTATAACGAAAGGCATAATTACAACACAAGTGACATCACATTCGGCTTCATTTCCATCAGTTTGGCTGATCCGACAATTCTGGGCAAAGACATCAAACAGTCGCCGATGATATGGTCGCGCACAATGCCTCTCGCCTGGTATTTCAAACCCCAGTAGTAATGTACCATGGTTATGTCGATCTAACCATCACCGTCGATGACAGGACCCTATTCTTAGGCAGATATTACAAACGTAAGCACTTTTGAAGGCTAATCGCAATTATTTACATTTAAAACAATCGTCGCTTTCACAGAACCCCCGGATATCGCGGACGAAGACATTGTAATTCTAGAAAACGCCGATCGTATGGAAGATCCCACGGCCTTAGATATAAAGTGGAAAATGCATAAACTTGGTTGGAATGACAACTCGCCCGCCATTATGTCTCTGTGGGGATACAGAGAGACGGGTGATGTGTACCCTCACCTCACATTTATCGACAAATTGGCTGAAATACGTTTGGGAGCGTTGAGGACACAAATAGAGCCCAAAATCTACAACGAAAGGCATAATTACAACACGAGTGACATCACATTCGGCTTCATTTCCATCAGTTTGGCTGATCCGACAATTCTGGGCAAAGACATCAAACAGTCGCCGATGATATGGTCGCGCACAATGCCTCTCGCCTGGTATTTCAAACCCCAGTAAGTGACATCACATTCGGCTTCATTTCCATCAGTTTGGCTGATCCGACAATTCTGGGCAAAGACATCAAACAGTCGCCGATGATATGGTCGCGCACAATGCCTCTCGCCTGGTATTTCAAACCCCAGTGGGAACGCGAGTACGGCGTGAGTGGCCGATGGAAAGAGCACTTCTGTCACGATTGGTTCCAACAGGAGTCGTACGCGGATCGGTTCGCACGAGTGGTGTTTCGGTGTCCGTGTACTCTACAACAGGCAGAGCTCGATAGGGGCCGCTTCTCGCCAGACCTCGAGTGTAACGTTATTGACCGCAAGTGCGATACTTTCCATCGCGGGGCTCAACACTGTCTCCGAACCGGCAGACCATCGTTAGTATCTTTTTGCATAACTCTATTCATGTCTTGAATATCTAATTAATTCTTACGAATTGTGTAGAATCGGAGGTTCCGGTCAGACCTGTTGTTACGACGACTACAGCGAACTCTTACAAACCGCCGACACTATGTATGGCGGAAGACCTTCTCGTGCATACATTTACGGCAAACATCCCTTTAAGATGAGGATGATGGTAAATAACAGCACATACATTTCTAACATAATCTCTTTAATATTAATGCTCACTATTGTTTATCACTTGAACAGATCCCAGCTTTGTCTGAATGGCTTCACGACACAATGCCATTCTTCTTCTGCTGCAAATGGCAGCCAAAGGAAGACAACGCCCACACGTGTCAGATGTATAACTATTGGCGGACATCACAGGACTGTTCATCATATCAGGCGCCGTCCATCGGGTCGGTGTACGGCGATCCACACTTCGTTACGTTTGATCGCTTCAACTATACCTTCAACGCCAAAGGAGAGTACACTTTGGTTCACGTCGACAACGCTATCCACAAACTAGGTTTGGCTCACACTTTCATTTGTATGAATCAAACGGTGATAATAATATAAAATGCTACAACAGATGTGCAAGCTCGGTTTGAACAAGTGCCCAGAAACAGACGCACAGACCCGCAGATCAACGCGACGGCCCTCTTGGCTGTGGCCGCACGCGATAACATCTCGTCGATCGTGGAGTTCAGGCTGAGGCCAATCGCCGCCCGTTGGAGGTATCAGATGTATGTGATTGTGGACAAGGAGTACATCTTCTGGTGGGACGAGTCGATGAGATTGCAGAACTTCAAAGGAGTCACTCTCTATCAACCCCGCCCGTAAGTCTTGTACAGAGTGCACTAGCGATACAAACTAAGCCCGCGACCGCAACTCCAGTACTGGCTACCGCCTGTAGAGTGACAGGTGCACATATACGGGATATGCAAGAACCAGTCAAAATTGTGTTTTATTATGCATTGTATGGTATTGTTTTGCAGTGGGAAGGGTTGGGCATTTGGTTGTGTAAAGAAAATACTAGAAATATATAGGAAATGCTGTTATTATTTAAACAGGACTTAATATTAGAAATGCGACACTTTTAATGAAATCAAAGTATAGATTAGAAGTGGAAATGAAAGTGTATTAAAGAGCTTAGAAGTGAAACAATAGGAGAAAAAATTCTAATCAGAAAAATATTAAACAAATAATGCAATCAGTGTTTGCTCTGATATGTCGATCATAAATGATATGTTGCGCTCAATACAAGTAATTAATTATTTAATGAATTATATATCTCTACTAAACAGAACGGAACGGGAGGTCTATTGGGGTTATATTCACGGGACGCGAGGGACGACTTTACGCTACCGACTGGTCAACAGATATCACTGCAGAGCACTCAGGAGGACATCCATATGCGGTTCGGGAA